GTGAGGGGATCGTGTGAGACGCCACTGAGTAAGGTAAGAGTGTTGGAGCACCTGTCATCACTTAACATCGTCGTCACCACTCCTCATCACTCATCGTCGTCACCACTCCTCATCGTCGTCACCACTCATCATCACCACCTCCATCACCACCGTCCTTCATCGTGCGGGAAAATGCCCTCGTGTTGTTTAATTTTAAGTAACTATAACTGCTCTTTCGGTAGCGGACACGAAACTTATTTTGCCTCTCGTGTGTAAGATGTTGTTTGTGGGTGTCCGTGGCGGTGGTTTGTGTATAGGATGGAATGTAGAGACGCCTTTTTGTTTGCTGTCGTTTGTGGGGGAGAAGGGGAGGAGGAGGAAGAATGGGGAGGAGAAGAGGCAGGAGGAAAAGGGAGGGGAGGCATGAGGAAGATGAAGAAGGGAGGAGAGGCAGGGGGAAGAGAAAATAAGAAGGGGAGAGGAATGAGGAAGAGAAGGCAGGAGAGCAGGAGAATCAGAGAGGAAAAGAAGTGAGGGAGTAACAGGATATAGATACACACATTTTTTTTAACCCCATGCGTGTGTGTCCAGGTTAGGAAGACGATAACAACAACTGTAAGTTATAAACAAGACTCCACGCGTAGGTCCGCCACCGCAGCATCCCAGACCAGTTCAAGAATTCGGGACTTCCTCTCAGTACTTTATGAATGGCGAGGGGGGAGGGCCTACCCTAATTAGCTACACCTTTGTCTCTTTTACCTTCCTTTACTTCACCAATTGTTAAGTCTTTTTTTTTCCCAGCACCTCTTTACCAGTCGAGCCCTTTTTTCAAGCACCTCCCCACCAGCACCACCCCACCAGCACCTCCCCACCAATCAAGCCTTTTTTTCAGCACCTCCCCACCAGCACCACCCAACCAATCGACCCCTTTTTTCCAACACCTCCTCCCCACTAGCACCTCCCCGCCAGCACGTCCTCCCCGTGAGTATCCAACACCTTCTATTGGCACCGTAAGTCCCCCTCCCTCCCCATCGCCTCATAACATCAAGCCTGAGTTTCTAACCACTTTATGTCTCTCTACTCTCCCAAGACCTCCTCTCACGCCCCCTTCCTTAAGTTGCCCCCTTAACCCCCCCTTCTCACCCTCTCAATATTTCCCTTCCTAATGGTACTTCCCTTTAGTTAGTCCCTCTGCTGGCCGTACCCTTCACCCCCTTTCCCCTCTTTTTTCAGTATAGCCATTAAAAGTTCCCTTTCACTTAATCTACCTTAACCTAATTTAACACTAACCTACCTACCTGCCTGTAACTTAACCTACCTACCCGTAACCTGACTTAACCTAACATACCTTTAACCAAACCTGACCTAACTCACGTGTAACCGAATCCAAACACAACATAACCAAACCCGCATATTTTGTAGTAGGAAGATTCGGTTCCGGGTTTGTGTTTTTAGCTCCTCGATTCCGACTCCGGCACCACCTTGCACCGCAGTACTGTTATACACACACACATACACCCAGGTATTTGTCGCTGCTGGAGTCCGTGGCGCCAGTGAGACGGTCCGTGATGTGTGGCAGTGTCCTCCCTCGCCCTGTAGCAACTTGTCCTCATTAACATGCATTCGAGTTCAAACCTCGCGGTGAGAGATGCATCCCATTGATGGTCTGAACCGCGACGCTGAACTACAGGGCGGCATTACACATTTATATGTATTTATGCATGTATTTTATGTATCTCTCTCTCTCTCTCTCTCTATCTCTCGTTTATTCACATCTCCCTTCTATCTCTCTCTTTTCTTCCGGGATTTTGGTTTTATCTTGTCTCATTTTTTTTCTTCGTCTTGGGTTTTTTTTTTCATTGTCTTTCATTTCGAGGTTTAATTTATTTTTTGTCTTTCGTGTTTTATTTATTTTTTTCTCAAAGGTTTATTTGTTTTTCATCCAAGGTTTAATTTTTTTCTCATCTTGGGTTTAACATTTTCTGTTTTTTTTTTTCATGTTTATCATCCTTCTGCCTCTCCTTGGTTTAATAATTGTCATTTTCTTCTTGGTTTAAAATTTATCTTTCTTTTTGTCAGTTCAGTGTACAGGGTTCCCTCCTGGTTTATCATCCTTCCTCTCTTACCTCCTTGATTATTATCCTCCTTCCCTTTCTCTTCCTGGTTTATTATTTTCCTGTTTCTCTCCCTCCTGGTTTATTTTATCATCTTTCCTCTTCCTCCCTAGTTTATTTTCCTGCTTCTTCTTGGTTAAATATATTTCTTGGTCTCCCTCTGTGTAAGTTCAATGTAGTTCCTGACTCCTTCTCACAACCTCTGATTCAGGATGTCTGTGTGGGCCGCTCTCTCCCTCCCTCTCCTCTCTTCATTCCTCCTCTCTCTCCTCCCTTCAGCATTACTCCTTTCTTTTTATCTGCCCCCCACATTTAACTCTCCTTCTGACACTCCCTTAGTCCTTCCTTCCTTCCTTCCCTTCCTTCCTACCTCACTCCCCATCCCTCCCTACTTCCTTTCTTCCTTCCTCCAGCACTGCCTCCCTCATTTATTCCCTCCCTACTTCCTCCTCCTCCCTGACACAGCTTCTGAGTTGTGGCGCTTCTTACTGGCTACGATGGGGGAGAGGGAGATAAGGACGCTGGACCTACCACTACCGCCCCCACCTACCACAACCCCCCCCCTCTTTACCTACCACTATTACCACCACTCACTGTTCACCACTATCTACCACCAATTCTATCTACCACCACCCCTATCTACCACCACCACTACCCACTACCACCACTTTCACTCACCACCACCATTCCCACCTACCAATTTTCACCGCTATCCCCACCAACCACCACCGCTATCCCCACCTACCACCACCGCTATCCCCACCTACCACCACCGCTATCCCCACCTACCACCACCGCTATCCCCCCTACCACCACTACTAACATCTCCCATCACCATCCCCACCACGATCATCACTACCAGCAACCACCATCTTTGCCATTAGCATCACATACGACCACGAACTTTTTCTTCATCTCCCTATTCTCCCTCCTCTCCCTCCTCTCCCTCTTCATCCTCCAATTTTCCTTTATTTTCCCTCCTCTCAATTCCTCCATCTTTTTCCTTTTATTCTTCGTCTTTTTTCTCTCTCCACCTCTTCGTATTTTACATTCAAGTCTCGCCATGGTCAACACAGAAGGCTTGGCGGGCTGCTCTTCTCTCCTCCCCTCTCTCTTGGCTCTCTCCCCCTCCTCCTTGCCTCTCCTCTCCTCTCCTGCTTTTAAAGACGGAAGAAAGTCTGTTGTTGTCGCGCTGATGTTTTCGCTTTTGTTTTTTGTGTGTTTTTTGTTTACGTGTGTGTGTGTGTGTGTGTGTGTGTGTGTGTGTGTGTGTGTGTGTGTGTGTGTGTGTGTGTGTGTGTGCGTTTAATAAAAATTATATCAAAGGCTCGTGTTTCAGTAGTGTTCTTTCTTTTTTCTTTCTTTCTTTCTTTCTTTCTTTCTTTCTTTCTTTCTTTCTTTCTTTCTCCTCATAACAATATAAAAATTAAGGAACTGCAGTATCATAATTTCTATTTTTATTATTATTATATATTTCTGGGAGAGTGGTAACCATTTTAGAGTGCCGTGGCCCAGCCCTTGATAGTAATAGTGGTGGTAGTGATAGTGGTTGGCGGTGGTAGTAGTAGAATTAAAGAAAAAGTGGTGGTAGTGGTAGTGGCGATGTTGGTGGCGGCGGCTCTAACACTGATACAGTATATTGCTTCAGATGGTCACAGAGGGAGGGGGTACTGGACAGGCGCATCAGTTGAGGGTGATGACTTGGGTTATCGATGAAGGCAAGAGAGAGAGAGAGAGAGAGAGAGAGAGAGAGAAGGAGGAGGAGAAGAACAGAAGGAGAGAGTAGGAGACAAGGACGAGGTGTGTTTGGAATTCATGAGATTCATAGCTTGGGTAGAACAACGACTTTATTCCCTCGGCGCCAGAATAGTATTTGTAAGACCAACACCAAAGTATATACAGTTATCGATGAGTCTCCCCTCCTATCTCTTTTATTATTGTTATTATTATTATAGTTGTTGTTATTGGTGGTGGTGTAATTATTATTAGTATTATTATTATTATTATTAGTATTAGTATTTATTTATTATGGTAAAGGATTGGGTTGAGAGCTGTGAACGAAGGACCACTCGATGAGGAAAACATTTCTTTTTTGGGGTCTTCACAGTGCGCTTGTCCGTCGGTGTTATGGATCAGTATTGTGTAGTTGAGATGCAGACCCGACAGTGTTTATACAGAGAAAACACTTTAAGCTTACCTGGATTTACCCTCAGGAGCTTTGATTGATCTGTTGCCGCTGTTGGTTCGTGGTTATGCTCAGTTCATGGGAAGGGGGAGGGGGGTATGGTAGGTACATTGGGTGTATTGTATAGACGAAGAGGTTGAGGCTTATGGAGGGAGGTGTGAGGCTCAAGTTGTCACAGGGAGGGACAGTACAGGATGGGGGGAGGCATGCAACACCTCCACACCTCCCTTACCGCCCCAGCTCTTTGAAACTTTGTCACGAGCAGCAGGAGTCAAGAGATGCTTCTAGCTCGTTGCACTGCACTTGCAACTTCAGTCTTCATATAAATAACATTACATGAAAATTGTTTTCAAAAGAAGAATAAAAAGTGTCATTCTTCTCGGGGTGTTGTGGTTGTTTATTGTTTGAGGAGCTCCAGCTAACAGGGTTGTTAAACTCCGTACACTTTAGCTCGTGTTTCTACAATATAAGACTTAAGGAAAATTCGGTTTTCTTGGAGTGAGTTACTGACCTCCGTAAGTCTGCCAGACAGTGAGTGATGTTCACACTTGCCCTCCCCAGTTGGATGTTGCAATAAAATGACTGCATTGTTGCTTTGACAATGACAAAGCCACCATCACCATCTGCTCTTTTGTAGTTTGCAAAATGCAAATTCGCTGGTGACTGCAGTACATGAATATGCAGATGACCTCAGGAGATGTTATGCATGGATGCCACTGTGTGAAAAGATGAAAGTTGGGCCCGAGTGCAAAAAT